CTATTTTTTATTTTGACCAATTTTCCCCGAAAGAGAAAATAAATGCATATTTTTTATATTTGTAAGTGCACTTACAATCCACTATTTTTTATTTTGACCAAATTCCAACAAAGAGAAAGTAATTGCATATCTTCTATAATTATAAGTATACATACTACCGTTTTACCCATGTTTTTTTATTTTATTTCGAAATATCTATAAATCAAATATGAGTTGGAATAGTTGAAAAAAAAAGTAAACAGTTAAATTATTGAAAAAATAGGTGTATTTCCATAAATTTCTTTAAATATAACAATTAAATTTTTTTCTTTTAAATGATTGATATTTTAATGACACATGTGAAGGATTTGCTGGTTTAAAAATCCGATCCAATCCAAAATCGATCGGAAAATTTTGAATTTTTTTTTTTTTTTTTTACTCTTTCTGAAAATTTTGTTCATTATTCGCGTTGTATCATGTTGCGTGGGATCATGTGCCACGCATTGCGTCTCGTATGGGAGGCCTTGTGCGTTTAATTTGGTAAGTTACTCCCACATTTTTTTTTAAGTGGGGCAAATATTTTTATTTTTATTTTTTTATCTATTGTACCCTAGCGTAAATAAAGTCCACAAATGAACAATATGGTAAGCTTCAACTGTGCGTTAATAAACAAAGCTTTCAACTGTGCGCTTTTGCTATAAAAATAAATTAGATATTAGGTTATTGGTTAATAGCAATTAAAAAGAATAAAATAGTATTAGCTCGTAGGATATTAGAACGACAAAAAATAATATTAATATTAGTTATTGACCATTAAAAAAAGTACTAATTTATGGGATATTTTAAGAGAAAAATTAACACTAGCCCAAACTACTGTAAAATCTATTTTAAACTTGATTTGTCAATTATCCTACATTACAAGTATGATATTTATTTATTTTTCTAAATTTATTATAATGTAATTACAAATTTACGTTTCTAAATTCTATACTTTTGTAGATTTATTTATTTGTAAGGCTTACACCTTTGTTTTTTTAATCATGTTTATTACAATATTATAATTAATAATTATACATTGATAACCAAATCTTGTATTTTATTTGTTTATTTATTTACATTATAAACTTATTTTTATTATAGCTGTAAATAAATTTTTTTAAAAATTAAATGATATATAAAACACATTTTAAATTTATTCATACAGAGAAAGAATATCTCAATATTAGCATATCCATGCAAAAAAATGAAAATTTTTAATGTAGTACCCTCATTTCTCATTGGATTCCTAAAAAGTAACATTTATAATTTTTAATATTTTTTTTTGGAATTTTTTGAAGGGAGAATCTGACCGATTCGACTGATTTCTGATCCAAAACGCCGATTCACCGATCCAGATGGATTTTTGGGGTGCCTGATTCGAGGCACCGATCCATTTTTTAAATCACTGCATGCAACATACTATGTCATTGTAATATAGTGAAACTTCATTTTCTAAAAAGCCATATTTGTGATATTTGTGTGATCTCAAAAACAACACACTACCTCTCTTCACCCCAATAATCAATCCTAAAAAAATAAATTTCAATTTGCACCCTATATAAGATCAAAATGAGTCCTTTACCAACAATGAATATAGACCATGCATTTGATGAATTTCAATATCTAGGTCTTTACGAATTTGAAAACATTTTTTTATCTTTTTAACATTATTCATCTAGTCATAATAAAGCCATATAAAAAATTTAAGTATAAAAAAGTCTTTCTAAAGCCTAAAACTAGGTATCCTAACACGATTTCTGAGGATTATTAAAACAAGTGTTGACCGTGCATTCTAAGAAATAGAAAGAGAGAAGGAGGTTTGAGGTACCATAAAATAGAGTTCATACATTCTCGAGTGACGGTCCCTAAACTGGAATAAAGAATAGTCGCCGTAAAGGAGAGAGAGAGGGGGGACCACTTCCTAATCTTGAAAGGGCAAGGGTTGTCGAATGAGATCCCTCGAATGAGATCCCAAGTTCATGCACTAAGCCTTGGGCGAATTTGTTTTGAAGTTTGTAAATATGGATGTGAACGGCAATTGCTCGAGCCAATTATTGGTTAGAATATGATACCCTTTTTCTTCATTATCTCAATGAAACGTACCTAATTTTTTTTTTTTTAAAAAAAAAAACATAAAATCCCAAAAATAGACTTTTTAGGCACTTTACCGGACCGCAGTTGTATATTGCTGGACCCATCCATTCTATCGGACCGGAACTGTACACTTTTGGGCCGCCTATTCCAGACAAAATTTTCAATTTTGTTAGACCGTAACTCACAAATGTCGGAATGCTCATTAATCCATAAACAAATGCTAGACCGCCATGGTGAAGTGTCGGACCGTTCCAAATCAGTGACTTCAGCGCCGGACCGCCTCTTCCAAAAGCCAGACCGCAATGGTGAAGTGCCGGGCTGCCATGGTGAAGTGCCGGGCTGCCAAGGTCAACGTGTGAGGTAAGGGAAGGGTATTTTAGTCCTCTTTTTTTTTTTGAGTTGGGTGCATTTGCTAGGAAATATAGTTTTGGGGAAAAAGTTGTTAAAAAAGTTAGGTTGGAGGTAAATTACTTAAAAAATCTATTTTTAAGGGATTTATGCAATTTTTCTTAAAAAAAAAAAAATTAATTAGAGTATACTATTTTCTACATATTGTTGTACATCTTTATACCCAGAGGTATTTGAGAATCCTTGTTAGACCCCTATACTCTTTTTTCGTTTTCGTTTTTTCTTTTTGAAGTATTACCCCTATACTCTATTGGATAGCGATGTGTTATATTTTAGGATTAAGGATCCATATGATCTAGAAAAATATTAACAATTAAATAAATTTAAAATAGGGGTTTACGAAAAGGAATTTAGAATAGAAAATGAACAATATTTTCGCCCATAGGCTCGACATCTTCCAATCTCTTCATATGGTGTGGATTAAAGACTATCACGGATATAGCAAGTCCATAATAATATTTTTTTTATGCAAATTTGATACAAAAAATATGGGGGAACCTCCACGGCTCTCATAGGACTGTTCCAGTTTTTAAGCAAAACTGTCACGGATATAGCATGTTTGTGATGGGGAAAAACACTGTAGCTAATGAAATATTATTTTTCTCTCACGGTTTTTATTTATTTATTTATTATTTAACTTTCTTTCTCTCTCTAACGGTAATTGGGATTTGTTTCTCTCTCTACAGCCCGATGGTCCTCGATGCTTGCTTCTAGCATTCTAAAACTCGGCCGAGGCAAGGCTAAGTAACTCGGAGTAACTCGGAGTAACTCGGCCTCGGCCCATGGGTAAGGTGAGTTTTGGATGAGTTAATTATACACAATGTTTTTAAACTTTAAGTATAAAATTACCATAGATTCATATCCGATATTGTAGATTGGTTAACCGGTTAACTCTAATGAATAAAATTTACCCCTATATGATCATTATTTTTTCATTTTCCTTATGTAGACACCCCTTTCGAAATTCTGGTTAAGAGAATTCTTAAAAACCTTGATTCTGAGCCCAAAGGACCACACAAACTTTAGTAGACCATAAACCAGTGTTCGTAAAATTGATCCGGAATGGTTAATCGGACATGGCCCTGGAAGCTATTTAACCGGTCTAACTGGGCAAGTCCTGGGTGGTAAAAACAATATCTAAAAAATAACAAAATACAAAACAAATCGACTAAAATATGAAAAACATATAAATAATGATTAAAACAAAATACATTCAAATCAAGTTGAAAATTAATGAAAAAATTGGATTTTAACCCATTTTATATTTTCCAAGGGCTATTTTTAAATTTTTTTAAAAAGATGGGAAATATAAAAGTGAGTATTAATGAAGAAAACAATTTTTAATCTTTACCATATATAAAGAATATTTTAAAATGTATCACAAATCAAATTCCTTATTTTTGAGAATTTATATACATTTTTTTATTTTTTTTTAAATATCGGTGGATCACCCTAACCGCCGAAAACCGGAACTGGCCAGTGGCAGGTTCCGATCTAACTGGGCGGTTAGCGGTTAGATCGGACGATTTTACGAACAATGCTATAAACAACCTAAATCCAATATAATTGTCCCAAAACTACTTAAACCTATCCGAAGTTGATGTAGGCCCCAATATCTTTCCCACGGTTTAAGAATCGTTTGGATTGGACCTATGGATAAAAAGATCCGAAAAATGACCAATAAATCCCTACCTAATGGTTCTAGATAACCCAAAGCCCGTCATTGGCCCAGTTAGGCTCGATGATGCAGTAAAAATGTATTTGTTTAATGATAGCCAAAAATTTCTAGATAAACTCGGAAATTATGGAAAAATTCTAAAAAAACCAAAAAAAATCACAAATTGAGCCCTATAAATATCCCCCCTCCCCTCCTTCAGAACAAAAAAGATGGATGAAGAAAATCATGAGAAATTCCCGAAATTCCCGAAATTGGTAAAATCGCCTAAAGAAGAAAAAAAAGCTAGACTCGGGTGATTTTTTTTATTTTCTTTTAAAAAAAAATGAGCTAGACTGGAGAGTTGTTATCTGGACTCGCTATAGTAACTCACCATATCCATATCCACGTCCCGCATACCTTGGCCCAGTGGATTCTTTTACACTCATTGCATTTTGTATCACTATAAGGGTCCCCCCACTGGATCCAGATCATACCTTTCTCATTAGCTCTTCCTATAAGTTCCCAAACAATGGGATACACCTTTCATCCCTTGTCTGAAAAGATTAGATTTCAGTCACTTATTTCGTGAGTAATTGGTCAGATTCGGGTCATTTATTTCATCATCAATTCGGACAACCGTATATGAATTCCCATGACCGAATTAAATGAGAGTCGGTAATAAAAAGAAATACATGATAATGGAGGAGTTTTTTCTTTTATTTGGCCATTGCCGCAACATATTTGGGCCCACATTTCCCGGAAACTGGGTATAATATCCGAAATCCAAACCCACGGGCCGGGCGCCGCTTTGACTCCGCCATTAAAATTAGGAAAAAAAGGAAACCCTAATTTTGTATTCCGGTGAGATTGGGGATTCTCATCAAAAGGGCCGCCGTAATCGTTTACCACGTTGCTGGTTTATTGTGATCTGTCTCCCTCTCTCTCTCTCTAAAAGAGAAGAGGGCCTCCTCTCTCTCACCCACCATTAGAGACAGGCCCCATTTCCCTCTCTAGACGAACCATCTCTTTCTCTCTCTAGAAGTCTACCCATCTCTCTAGACGACCCATCTCTTTCTCTCTTTAGAAGTCTACCCATCTATCTCTCTCTCTAAAAGTCTACCGATATTTGTCGTGTTTCTCTCTCTATAAGGCCCCATTGTTGCATAAATATAAGAACTCTTGATCGTGTTTTGTTGCCACCACTTTTTGGGTTCATCTCCTCCACTTGATTCTCACCCTTTTCCGGAGTCTCTTAACTTCTCCTGCCTCCCTTCTCTAGAGAGAGAAACTGCTCTGTTAGAGAGAGGTCTAGAGAGAGAGAGTCCATTGTCTTGCAAACATGTCGACCTGCTCAGCTGACTTGGCGCCGCTGCTCGGCGCTAATGGCACCCAAGCGGCCGCCCTAATCTGCTCTCAGTTCGCTGCCACAACCTCCGCAGTGGACACAACCTATCTTCTCTTCTCTGCGTACCTCGTCTTTGCTATGCAGCTCGGCTTTGCCATGCTCTGTGCTGGCTCGGTCCGAGCCAAGAACACCATGAACATCATGCTCACCAACGTCCTTGATGCGGCAGCCGGAGGCCTCTTTTACTATCTCTTTGGTTACGCCTTTGCCTTTGGGGTACCGAGCAATTCGTTCATCGGCCATCGTTTCTTCGCTCTGCGTTCGTTCCCATCCGCAGATGCAGATTACTCCTTCTTTCTGTATCAGTGGGCGTTCGCGATCGCAGCGGCCGGGATCACGAGCGGATCGATTGCGGAGAGGACACAGTTCGTGGCCTACCTCATATACTCTTCGTTCCTGACGGGCTTCGTGTATCCGGTGGTTTCGCACTGGGTTTGGTCGGCTGATGGATGGGCCAGCGCCTCCAATTTGGGGAACCTCCTCTTCCACAGCGGCGTCATTGATTTTGCAGGCATGATTCAGCTTCTCTCTGCCTCTCTTTAACGGCCGTTATTTATTTCAGATGTTGATAACGAGTTCTTTTTGTTCTCGTGGCTTGCTATATTAACAGTATCACCCGTTATACGCTCATGGTCAAATAAAGTAGGCAAATACGTCGTAGATTGGAGAAGTTTTTTTTTATTTGGAAAATTGTTTCGTTTGGGGGCTGGACCGCATTTCTACAATATCAGTACAAAGCATTTTTAATGACATGGATGCAAATAGGTGATCCACAACTAAAGCTCTAAAATTTTCAAATATAATTATTATTTCAAGTTTTTAATTTTTTTTTACATATTCACGATCTCCATATTAAAAATTATGATCAAATTATATTTAAAAATATATTATATTGCTAAGTCCTCATTTATACAATATGAAAGCTGAAACCCTATTTTTCTTTTGAAAATTTATGGGAAATATTTTCTGTAATTTTTTTTTAAGGTTCATATTTTCGGTATTCTTTTTAATTTCCAGATTATCGATGAGGCATCATTCGGTACTTGTGAAGGTTAGAGAGAAAGGGGCTAGTGAGGATAGATTTTTTGAGGGTTTAGAGAGAGAGAGAGAGAGAGAGAGAGAGAATTGTGAGATCTTTTGCTGGGAGAGTTGAAAACATGGGCTTTGGGTACGGGAAACGACATCTCCCTTATATGGGAGAGCATCTTTTACAATCCAGAAAATAAGAAATTTATTTTGTAGTTTATTCTTTTATGTTTTCTATTATCTTGGCAACTATTGAAAAAGTGTTACATTTTCCTTTCATTTTGAGTTATTTCTAAAATTCACCCATCAAAAAGTGGTTTTTTCAAAATCTATTATTTTACTACTTTTTTAGCCTAATTTAGACATATTTTTCCTATTTTTAATTTTTAATTTTTGTATTTTTCCACAACTCGGACCGAGGTATCAAGACGGCCCCGGTACCAGCGAGTCAACCCGTCCAACAGTGATCCTAACAGCCACGAACTGCAGTTGTCTCTCTCTAACACTGAAAATAGAGGGCCTCCTCCCAACACTTTTCAGCCTTATGAACAAAATTTAAATTTTATCTTCTCTCTTACCATCAAATAATGGCCACCAATGTTTTAAAGCTTGCCTCCTCCTTTAGCCAGTTACTTCAAAAAAACTAAAAAGTCAAAAAAATCGTAAAAAATATTTAAAATTAAAAAAATAAATAAATTAAGATGTAATAGAAATCTTAGAAGGCTAAAGAAGATGAAAAAAATCTATCAAAGATGATTATTGAAAATATGCCCGGTATATTTTGAGCAAACATTAAAAAAATTATGAAGTTCCCAAATTTCTATTAAACTATCAGAATTATCTAAAAACATATTTATATTCTAACTATTCTATTGGTGCTTTCCAATTTTTGTATTTTAATATTTAAAAACAATTTACACTTTTTATTTTTATTTTTTTCGACTCACCTCAACTCCGGAGTGGACTCTGGACTGATGGCCGCGGATGCATCTGACCTCACAATTCTCTCTCTACGCCTCCAAAGTCTATACTTCCTCTGCATAGACAGCCGTCCAATCCAATTTCGATCAAGTGAGTCTGACCATTTGATCTAGATCCATGCCTCAGAGTATTTTATTTTTATTTTTTTTCTAAAAATTATATGAGTTTATGTTTTTTTCTAAAAATTAAATGAATATGAAAATTGGTATGCCCCATCATCACCTAAAAAAAATTAAAAAGAATTTTATGATAAAATACAGAAGTATTTTGGTTATATTATTTTATTAAGAATATTTTGTTTTCTATTTTTTATAACTGTGAGTTTAAGATATGAGTTTACGCCCAAAATTTGATGTCAAAATATTTAGTAAAAAAACAAAAACAAAAAATGTAGAGACCTGTCATTGTGGTTGGGGCCATCTTAACCATCCATTGAGAATGGACGGCTGGATAGAGAGAAGTATATAAATTTTATGCATTGCTGGATAGAGAGAAGTATATAAATTTTATGCAGTAAAAGAAACGTAGAAAACTTGCCCTGAGGGTAATGGCATTCCTCTTCTTAAGCAACAACTTTTCTCTCAATAAATCCTGTCCGAGTTTTATTTCAATTGAGGTTCTTCCACCCTGTCTCTCAATCATTCACCTGTTTTCTTTCTCTTCTCCTAAGTTTTACATCCACTTATTCTCACCTATTTGTTAGTGAAAGGTGAAATGCTTTTTTATTGCAGTAATTATTATAATCGGAAAATGTCTTATAACTGTTACCCTCGGTGAAAAGAGGCAATTACTCTCTGTTTTCTCTCCCATCAGTTTGGGAATTAACAGCGGCCCTTCTTTGGAAAAGATAAAGGGGCTTGCGGAGTTTCTCCAAGGCCTAAGCTTTATAAAAATAGAATAAAACCTCATCTAGAATCTTCGCCTTAAAAGCACCTTGGGCATCATGAAATCTTTATGGCTCTAAAATCAATGGATTTTATAGATATGTGAATATTTATTTTTTGGGTGAAATAAATGGTTTAATGTTATACTATACACTATTTTTAAAGTTTGAAAACTTAATTTTTTACAGTCATAATGGCTGAGATGATTGATTTAAGGGTTTAGTGTTTCTTTGACTCGAGAACTTAGTTTTCGATGAGTTAATGATGAAGCCTTACGCATTTTGACAGGGCTGCAGCCATATCAAAATGTTTTCTTTTTTTTTCTATTTGTTTTGCCATCCCCCATCGACTGGGCCTCTCTTTGAATTTCGTAGTTTATTTCCCCTTGTGTGCAGGCTCTGGTGTTGTGCACATGGTGGGTGGCATCGCTGGCCTGTGGGGTGCCCTGATTGAGGGGCCCCGTATTGGCCGTTTTGATCACGCAGGCCGCATGGTTACGCTCCGCGGCCACTCTGCTTCCCTTGTTGTCCTTGGAACCTTCCTACTCTGGTTTGGTTGGTACGGCTTCAACCCGGGCTCCTTCCTCAAGATCGCTGTCCCTTACACGTCCACCATTCATGGCCAGTGGTCTGCAGTCGGCCGCACTGCTGTCACCACTACCCTTGCAGGTTGCACTGCTGCCCTCACCACCCTATTTGGAAAACGTATCCTTGTAGGCCACTGGAACGTCCTCGATGTATGCAATGGCCTGCTTGGCGGGTTTGCTGCCATCACCTCTGGTTGCTCTGTCGTCGACCCATGGGCTGCCATCATTTGTGGATTCGTTGCTGCCATTGTCCTCATTTCCTGTAACAAACTGGCGGAAAAATTGAAGTTAGATGATCCTCTCGAGGCCGCACAATTGCATGGCGGTTGTGGAGCTTGGGGAATCATCTTCACCGCTCTCTTTGCAAGAGAGACGTATGTGAGTCAGGTCTATGGAGGCAACTCAGACAGGCCATATGGGTTGTTTATGGGGGGAGGAGGGAGATTGCTGGGTGCTCATCTGGTCCTGATTTTGGCCATCATTGGGTGGGTGAGTGCGACGATGGGGCCCTTATTTTTCGGGTTGCACAAGCTGGGTTTGCTGAGGATATCGGCCGAGGACGAGATGGCAGGGATGGATCTCACCCGGCATGGTGGGTTCGCTTATGTCTACCATGATGAGGACTCTCATTCAGGGGGGGCCAGCAATGGCTTCATGATCAAGCCAGCCCCTTCGCCTCCTCCTCCGGCGAACAGCGTTTAGCGTTTAGAAGAAGTCTAGGTGAAACTTTGAATAGGGAAGGAAAGGGTCATGTGAATAGGGAAAGAAACTCATCCCACTCCCATTCTATCTTATCGGGTGTGTGAAAAGTTATTTTTTTTTGTCTTGGAGCCTTCATTTCTTTGCTGTGAATAGTTGGCATTGTCTCTTCCTCTATTTGCAATGGTATGCTTTGATTGTTATTTTTGTTGGACCAAAGCCAAATGTCTTCATTCATTTTTCATCCTCTATTTGCAATAGTATGCTTTGATTGTTATTTTTGTTGGACCAAAGCCAAATGTCTTCATTCATTTTTCATTGTTATAGTGTTTAACCGTGAATAAGAGCTCGTTTTGAATTAAAATTGACTGAGTCTATAAATGAAATGCATATTCAAAATGTCTTTGAGAAAACGCTCGGGTATTTCCAGATTTGGATCAGGTAGGAAAGAAACTAGAGGGGAACCTGGGAATCGCTAAAAAGCCCATGGATCCCTCTTAACTTCTAAGTTAAGAAAATGAAGATTAAGCCCTTGTACACCTTTTTAACTTTTTAAATTAGGAAATTGAAATTGAAACTGAACTTTTATTACGTCCACATAAGCCCCTCAGAATCCATTCGATAGCAGTGTATATGGTATGAGTTCGAAAGTTTTCCCCAAAAAGTGTCTCAGAGTATTGGATGTGATATGGAACAAATCAATTAAATTATGAACATTGATGTTCCATTCTTCCCGAGTTGCTATTGTGGCACATTGCAGAAAAGTATGATGTTCGTCCTCAATAACATTTTCGGCACAAAGCCAACTAGTACGCTTTTCTGTAGGAATTTGAAACCATCTTCCAGTTTCAATACCCCATTCTTGCCCCTACTGATTTGAATCCATAGACGATGAGGATCATTCAAATAAGTTGTTTTTACTAAAATTCATCCACTCTAATATTGTTTAAATCAAATTGTTCCTTCCCAGCTACTCCCTCCCAAATCCTTTGGGTTGTTTTTTGACAAACAATTTTTCGAATTTGTTTTGGGTCCCAATAGAAGATTTGCTCATCAATAATACATTTCTTTAACCAAAGGTTTCGTTGGTATAACCAACCTTTATTTTGAGTAGCATGGAGAACTTATTTTGAAATTTTGTCAAGTGCAGAAGCTGTGAGGTGCCGAACAAACGCAACAAACTGATAAATTGCCTAACTTCCAAGAGCATCAACTCAACTTCTAGAAGCATAATATCATATAGGAAAGGTTTCTATACTTTCCCTACATCATAGAAGATTTATACTTCCCCTACCATCTAGCAGTCTAATTTTGATCAAGAGAGCCACTCACCGTTTGATCTTAGATCCAACGTCTTAATGTATTTTATTTTTAGTTTTTTTTATACAAATTTTATGAATATGAAATTTTGTACGTGCCATCTTCTCATTGGGACGAACCTATAAAAAATATTAAAAATAATTTTTCAATAAAATGTAATGACAAAAAATACCCCTTGAATCTTTCAGGGGAATTTTGGTCATTTTATTTTATTGAAAATATTGTTTTTATATTTTTTGCTAGTACGAGTTTAATAGAGGATTGGATGTACAAAATTTGGTAATAAAAATTTTGTAAAAAAAAATTAAAAATAAAAAAGAGTAATGATGTGACATTGTGATTGGGGCAATCTAAGCCCTCCATTCAGAATGGACGGTTGAATAAAGGGGAAGTATATAAGTTTTATGTTGTAGGGGAAGCATAGAATGCCCATATCATATTGGGTATGTTGTTTTACCTTGAACTCTTCCAACAAATTGTTTTTTTAACTTTTTCTATTTTCTTCCAGTATTTTGTTTGCTAATCTAGGGCCCCAAACTGCACAACCATAAATGACAAGTTGGTTGTACAATAGTGAGAAATGCTGGCTCCGAATATCCCAATGTAAGATTTGTATTGGCTTCTCAATGCAAAGAAGGCTTTCATACCTCCTATGATTCTTTGTGTAATGAATTTATCCCATTCATAATCACCGGAGCATTCTAAACCAAAATATATTTATATGATGAAACAATCTCAACTTGCTCAGTTCCTATCTGAAAAGCCAAGTTAGTATTTCGTGTACTACAAACCATAATTTTAGTTTTTTGGATATTAATATTCATTCTAAAATACTAGCAACATTCATCCAAAATGTGAAGCATTTGCTGCAAACCTTGACTTGACTTGGAAAATCAAAGCCACTTCATCTGCTAAGAGCAAAAGATGAACATGAGATTGGCCTAATAGAATAAAATGACCGGGAGGAGTTTTATTCATCCATGTCTCTAGTTCATCTATGGAAATACCAAATAGTGTGTAGAAAGAGGGCAACCTTGCTTAACACCAACAGAGCTATGAAACATCACACTGTCATGAGAATACCTCTAAATAGAGCATTTGAATTGCTGACATCAAAGGCGCTGGGACTCAATTATTTTGTAGTCTTTGCCATATCTTTTTTCTTCTGGCAGAGTCATATGCTTTAGAGAAGTCCACAAAACATATGAAAGTTTTCTTGTTTTGGCCTTTAGGTTGATCAATGAGATATTTCAAGGTGATGAGATGATCTATTATAGAATGATGTTGTCGGAAACCTGCTCGAGAAATCACTTGTCTTTTTTTTTTTCCTCTGCCCATATAAGATTCCATGATAGTTCTCAAAAGCTTTGCAAAGATATTACTGATTATGATCAACTTGTAATTGTTTAAATCAGTTTTGCTTCCCCCCTTAAACAACATTACAGCTCTGGTAATACATCACTCTTTATCCAACCCAAATTCCAAAGCGCGATTGAGTTTTCTCAACATAATTTGCCAAACAAGAGGTTCACCCCATTTTAACATTTCTCCATGTAAGCCTTTTACATCTGCCGTTTTTCCTGAGGCTAGTCTGTGTAATCCTTCACATGTTTCTTCAAATGTAAGAGCTAATTTGGTATTAGCATTCTGTAGAGGTTCCATTGCTTCATTATCCTTGAATAAAATTTTGGTAAAAGTTCTGACTATTTGCAAAAGAAAAAGTGTTTTTTGGTTTTTGCCTACTCTTTATTAGTCACCAAAAACTTCTTGGTTCTCTTTTGAGAAAATGGAGTAATTCAGTTTATCGTTCGCTAACAAATTGTCTCTTCTTGTTGTGAATCAAATTTTTATAATATTTGACCAGCTTTATAGAATTTTCATGGTTCTGAAGTGCCAATATGGCTTTCTGACATTCATCATCAAACCATTGCTTCTTCCTCACACTTTTACGTCTTGATACATGATGAGCACCAGCTAGTAAAATGTTATTAAAATTTCTACCGTAGATATGAGAGTCCCATCTTCTTTGGACTTCAACTTGAAAAATCAGTTTAGCTTCCTCTGTCAGTGTATGCAAAAATATTATTTTCTGATGCTGAAAAGAACAAAAATTTATTGAGATACTAAAATATAAAGGACAACGGAAAGATTCAACCAATTTGTTCACTACTTGGAAATTCTGAATGATTGATATACTCACAGGAGTAGTAAGCAAAACGTCAATGCTGGAACATCCTGGGAGCCTACAAAAGTGTTTACGATGAAAATTTGACAGATCTTTCGATGAAGATCTCTCGAATTTTAACAACTTAAACTAATTAGAAATATGTAAATAAAGTGGTAAAGAAAGTGGGACAGATCGAATTCAGATCTGAGGCCAGATTTGCCCAGAAATGACAAATCTACTCTAATATCTGTGGCAGAGCCAACATGATCCAGAGTATTAAAATAACATTTTTAAGACAAGTTAAATGATAAAAAATAAATAAAAGAAGCAAAATAGTAAAAAAAAGAAGAAAGAGAGAGGAATAAATAATACCAAACCAGGCCGGATGGCCCGGGATTCTCGAGCCTTTGAGGGCTCGCCTATATCAGAACCGGTCCTCTTTGCCTCTCTAATTCGGATGTAGACAAGCAGATCTCTGGTGTAGGTTGTTGTGCCCTAATTCTAGTTTGGTTCTATGTTTCTTGTGCCCTAGGTCTAGGTTTTATCAGTCTTGGGGGTTAGGATTTCAGGAGGCTAGGGTTTCTATCTTCTCTAGGGTTTTTAATCTAGAGATTTTTCTAAAGTTGTCGGTCTTTTTTCCGAGGCATGGGGGAGAATTTCCTTGGTTTTCTAAGGGTTTTGTGATATCCAAAGGTTGAGTATGAATTTTGAGATTTTCTCTAATTTTTTAGGATTTTCCCTAAATTGTTAGGAATTTTCTAAGGGTTTTTCCTATTTTTGGTATTTTTGGGTAACTTTCCTAATTTCAGGGATTTCTAAGGTTTTTTTTAGTTTCTTTTTCTCTCTACTTTTGGGTTAAGGAGAGGGGGTATTTATAAGATTTAACTGGTGATTTTTCCCAAATTTTTTGAAGTCTTTTTTCGGAATTTGTTGGATTTATCTTTAAGTTTCAGCCTTATCTAATTAAAGAAAATGTGTTTACTGCATCATCAGACGCGTTGACTGCATAATCAGCCCACGTTTGGGCCTGTCGGGCATGTTACAGCCCGGCCCGCGGCTCGACAGTTGGGTCTTACAGGGACCCAACTGTAAGACCCAACTGTCGTTTATGGTTGTCATTTATTATATCTTTTTATCCGTAGGTCCGATTCAGGCGATTCTTAGACCGTTGGAAAGCTCTTGGGCTCTATTTCAAATTAGAATAGGATTTGGGTAGTTTTGGACTAATTAAATGGGGGTATATTAGGATAATGTGGTCAAAAGAGTTCGAAAAACCATAGAATTTGCCAGATTTAAAATGGGGTGTCTACAGTTGCCCCTCTTTGGCACTCCCTGTCCTTCGAGGGACATGTGAGTGGTAAAGAAGTAGACACTTTGGTATTCCCTGTCCTTCAAGGGGCAGGTGAACTTCAAAGATAAAGCAAACATTTTAAATTTCTTCCTGAGGTCACTTGGTTAGGGGGCACGCCAACTATCCCTCTAAGTCATTGCGCTCATCGAGCTTACCTACCTAGGGCATTTTTCCTCCTAGGGTTTTCGACGTACGATGTCGGTGAGTTAGAAAAGCTTGAAACTCGAGTTGGATTTTCTAACCATGCCACTTAACTTCAAGAGCTTTTGTAGTTTGAATTTTAACCCTGGCGTTTTCTTTGATCTCCTTAGGGTTCTTAAGGCCATCTATAGGAAAAGGCTTTCTATAGGAAGAGACTTGTCTGGCTGAATCCGAAGTAAGAGACGAGGCAGCAACGCGACAACGCGGTAATCATCATATACGGGTGTCCAAGCTCCTT